TTATACCCATATAGTTATTTTTTAGAACAGATGAAAATTATGTATGATTAATCAGGTCATATGATAGACTAAGTGAGTAAGTTATGTCATATATTGAAAAAAATGTTTTGATAGATTTGATTGTATTTATGTTATTGTCAATTTTGCACTTTAAAATGTAAGAAAAAATAAAGTATTAAAAGTATATGTTTAGTGAGTTTTGCATATGTTAACAATAAGAAATTTAATCTTGTAATGTTCACAATATATGGTGCACTTCAATTGTGCTTCGTTTAATATATTGTGTGTTTTTACTCAACTTATATGATACTCCGTATATTATTTTTGTGACTAGTGATATAGAAAGAGATTTCTCCGAAAACTACTAAAATACAACTTATTTATAAAAATATGATTAAAAATTACTATAGTATAGTGCCATCGGCATTAAATGCAATAATTTAACATACATTACAATGCCAAAAGATACTATTATAATCGCTCTTAAGTGATCACATTTTTGTAAACAATCTTTAAAGTAGTCATAAAATTTCAATTATTTCATTTAAAAATCTTATGAATATAATATGTAAATACGAAGTACTCCGTAGGTTTTTGTAAAGTAGTCATAAAATTGCAATTATTACATTTAAAAATCATATGAATATAATAGGTAAATATTAAGTACTCCGTATGTGCATGCTTTTGTCTAGGGCCTCCATAATTCTAAAGACGGCCTTGCTTGCTGGGACAACTGTTGCACTCATTCCCTTTGATTCCATCGATTAATCTCAGTTTTTCTTGGTGTTTGATGGTCGAAATTCATCCCTCTTCCATTCTTATTGATGAAATTTGGAAGATTTGGTAAATTATTTGTCAAAATCGAGCTGGTTTGAAGCTATTATGCGCTGTTTTTACTGTTCACAGCATTTTGGGATTTCATCTTTGATTTAATACGTGACGGTCAATTCTCAAATCAAAGCTTGGGTTGGGGGTCGCTATTACTAGGCGCACCTCCATCCAACTTCTGGTCACCTCCCCACCTAATGATTTCAAGTTTGAGGAGAAGTTTAAGTTGTTGCAAGCTAAGAAATTAGCTATGGATGAAAGGGCTAAGGCTGGGAATTCCCCTTCCAAAGTTTTGAAACCACATCCAAAAGACTCTATGGTGGATGCTTCACAAGGTTCCATTTACCCCAACGCCACTGCCCACCAAGAACTCTCCCTTACGAAACAGGCTGAATCAACCAATGCTTCTGCCCACGTTGTAGAGGACCATGTTGTTATCATGACGGAGGATGAGTTCTTCACTATTAGAACACATGACACGTCCACTAATGAGACTCCTAAGGATGATACAAAAGCTGGGAATCCCAAGGAACGTCCACAAATATGACTCCTAAAGGGGACGAGCCTATTGATTCACGTGAAACAAAGGAGACAACTAAAGAGGATGCGACTATTCATGTGGTTGAAGAAGTGGTGAACAAGGATGCGACCAAGAAACCATGGACTTTTCTATTTAGTGATAACCGAACACTTGAGCATGGCTTCCAACTAAGGTACATTCCTTCCACCGGGTGATGTTATTGATTTTTCTAACAAGTCTCCCATCTATCATAGATATGTGGGGGTATTGTTTGGTTGGGTATTTTGCAGGTTGCTTCCCCATTATTAAAGCCATTCATGAGATCATTGCAAAATGGGGAGTGCATTCAAAACTGAGATCCCATGACAAAGGGTGGATAATTTTTAAATTTAAAAATGAAATGGACCGAAACAAGGTCATGATGGAGGGCCCTTATGCCCTCTATGGTAAGGCGCTCTTCCTCAAGGTTCTCACGGAGTCACGAATGATTTCTCAGTTATAAGTGAGGAGTTTCTTAAAGTCCCGATTTGGGTGATATTCCCCTGACTACCCATGCGACTATGGAATGAAGATGCTATTAGTGAAGTGGCCTCCAAAGTTGGGATCCTTATCACTACGATAAGATCACGCAACAAGGGGAGATGGACTGTTTTGCTAGAGTCATGACAGAGGTGGATGCTACTAACGAGATGGTCCTTGAATTTATGATACACTTCCTTAACGGTAGGATGCATAAACAAAGAGTCGTTTATGAAACCCACCCAAATTATTGTTAACATTGCACTACTTATGGACACCACGCTTTCACGTGTGAAAAGCTAAATGTTGTTCAACGAAAAGCTAAGGGAGACATAAAGAGGTTGACAAAGGTAAGGAGGTTGCCATAACCAAGGATATGACTGAGGGCTTCCAAGAAGTTAAAAGAAAGAGAAACCGTAAGCCTAATGATAATGGAAAGAACAAAGTTGGGGGCTCCAAAACTCAACTTGTTGTCTACAAAAGAAAGGAAACTATCACGAATGGTGGGATGATGGCAACTAGCAATGCTAAAGTGGATACTAGTGATGAGGAACTAGTTGTCCATGATCTCCCCCCCCCCCCCCCCCCCCCCCCCCCCCCGGCCCCGACATTCACCTAGGAAAAAGAAGAGTTTCGACCCGGAGATTTTGGCTTTGCAAAGTGGCTTGTAGATGCCAGTTTTCCCTATCCTCTCAAAGAATAACGGTAAACCAATTGATCATAAGATAGAAAAAATTTCTGGGCCAAAAATATAACACGGAAAGCGGGGAAGAATGGGAGGGGCGTAGACTTTTGAGTGTCCGCGAAATGGAACCGGACGTTGTTATGTCTAGAATCCAGCTCAGGTCTCAACCAATTTCATCCACAAAGGATGAATTCCACACATTAGGATCAACAAGGGGTGTTTGTGGGCATCTTCCTTCTACCTAATTCCGACCAAATCAAAGGGTTCCACAGAGGAGGCAGCAAGATGAGGGAATAGGGTTTCGACTCTCGTCATTTCCATTGACATGGAAGGTAGTATATATAGGCGAACCAAAATAACAGAGATGGTAACTTACCTTCCATGGAGTAAGGTTTGAATTTCGCAGGTCTTAGCAAAGGAAAGAATCGCCCAGAACATATGGGAAGAAGAGGAAGCCGATCGTGAGGAATAAAACCAACGGGCCGGGTAAAGGCTAAAGGGAAAATGGGCTTATAGTAATAGGTGGGCCAATACCAACACATTCTCCACCTTATTGGACCCTAGTGGTGTAGAGCATAACGCTCTAAAACAATATGAGACTCATCATCGCTGGATTGCCTGAATGATCACAAAGACACATTCAGGCAAAAGGGGTAAGATCACCAGGCAACTTATCCGCAATCAATGTTTAACGTGCGCTTGCACGACAACAACTTTTCGACAGAGAGACATTTAGTCCCCATGTCAGCGGGATTAAATTCTGATGGAATTTTAATCAACTTGATATCACCTACACTAACAATATCACGTATAAAATGAAATCTAACATCAATATGCTTAGTTCTATCATGAAAAACGGGATTTTTACACAGTTGAATAGCAGATTGACTATCAGAAAACACACAAATGTCTTGATTAAAACTACCAATCTCCGTTAGGAGACACTTAAGCCAAATGGCTTCCTTAAACGCTTCGGTAGCGGCCACATACTCGGACTCAGTAGTGGATAGGGCAACAATGGGTTGAAGTTGAGACTTCCAACTAATGCACGACCTGCAAAGAGTAAACACATAAGAGGTGGTGGATTTCCTATTGTCTCTATCGTTAGCAAAATTCGAATCCACATACCCACTCAACTTAACACCCTCAAAACACCTAGTGAAAACCAACCCATGATTAACAGTAGATTTCAAGTACCTAAGCAACCACTTAAGAGCATTCCAATGAGGCAAACCAGGATTAGACATATACCTACTCAAACAACTAACAGCATAGGCAATGTCGGGTCTAGTACTCACCATGAGGTACATCACAGACCCAATAGCATTGGAATAAGGCACAGATTTCATTTTAGCAATTTCAGGAGCAGTCTTGGGGGACTGATCCTTACTTAACACAAAGTGGGACGCCATAGGAATAGAGACGGTAGTAGCAGAATGCATGTTATATTTACTCAAAATATTTTCAATGTATGAAATCTGATTGAGTACTAACACACGCTTACTCCTATCCCTAACAATGTTAATGCCTAGGATCCTCTTGGCATCACCTAGGTCTTTCATTGCAAAGTTCTCACTGAGACGCTTTTGCACACCTTTAATGGCGTCACCCGAAGGACTAACAATCAACATGTCATCCACATAAAGCAATAAAAATACATGCACAGAAGAAGTATTTTTAAAGTATAGGCAATGGTCACACTCGGACTTGTGAAATTTCAAAGATGACATGCACTGGTCGAATTTGATATTCCACTGCCTCGGGGACTGCTTCAGGCCGTACAAGGCCTTCCTAAGCAAACAAACATGATTACTCTTCATGGGATCCACAAAGCCCTCAGGCTGGGTCATATAGATTTTCTTGTCTAAATCACCATGCAAGAAAGCAGTGGTGACGTCCATTTGCTTCATTTCCCAATCATTATGAGCAACAAGAGCAAGCATCATTCTAATCGTAGTGAATTTAACAACATTAGCAAAGATTTCAGCATAATCAACACCTTCCTTTTGAGTAAATCCCTTAGCTACTAATCTAGCCTTATATCTAATGTCGTTAGGCTCTTCCTTAACCTTAAATAGCCACGTACACTCAACTACAGAACTATTGGGCGGTCTAGGAACTAACGTCCAAGTCTTATTCGCTCTAAGTGACTCCATCTCACTCTCCATGGCGCAAAGCCATTTAGCGGACTCATTAGACTTAAGGGCCTCCCTATAGGTTTTAGGTTCATTAAGCTCAAGGGTCTCAAACATAGAGAAAGCAAACATAGAAGTATCACACGCATGGAAAGCAAAATCAGGCATGCTATCAGCAGTTCTCCTAATTTCTCTCCTACTTCTATCTCTAACAAGTTGGTAATCATGCAAATCATTATCACTAGAATCGGCACTCTCATCATGCGATTCATTGTCATTTGAATGCACATGATAATGCTCCACCTCACTCGAAGTGGTGGTATTATCATGCTCAGAAGAATCATGCAATTCAGAAAAATCATGCAATTCAGAAGAATCAAGCAAATTAGAAGAATCATGATTAGCAAACAAAGGACTAGCAGCATATGGTATGGACTCCACCTCAACAGGTGTACTACTAGGGCTCGACTCAGAATCAGGAACTGACTTAACTAGACAAGGGAACTCGGATTCATTGAAAACAACGTTTCTACTTACCACAACCTTGAAACCTACCCGGTTCCTATCCCAAACCCTGTACCCCTTCACACCCTCAGGATAACCTAAGAAGACTCCTTTCTTAGACCTAGGATCCAATTTGTCACCTTGTTGGTGCACATACGCAGCACACCCAAACACTCTAAGATTAGACAAATCAAGGGGCTTGTTTGAGAAAACAGATTCAGGGCACTTCCCACCTAAGGGAACAGAGGGAGACCGGTTAATCAAGTAGACAGCAGTATTGACTGCTTCACCCCAAAACTTTTTCGACAAACCGGAGGTAACAAGCATACTCCTAACCTTATCTAGAACAGTCCTATTCATTCTCTCGGCTATCCCATTTTGTTGGGGAGTATAGGGCACAGTTTTGTGCCTACTAATCCCACAATCAACACAGAGTTGGTCCATATCCTTATTGCAAAACTCTAATCCATTATCGGTTCTAAGGGTTTTGACCATCTTACCAGTTTGATTTTCTACAAGGGTTTTCCACTCCCTAAATTTCACAAAGACATTGGACTTATGCTCAAGAAGACGGACCCACACCTTCCTAGATAATGGACAGAAAATATCTCTTACCCCCGTGGGTAGAGACACTAGCAGGACCCCACACATCTGCATGAACATACTCTAACACAGAGGTACACTTAGTGAGATTAGAATAAGGGGAAGATGGGAATGTAACCTTATGCTGCTTGCCTAACACACAATATTCACAGAAAGGGATGGAGGACACAGAATCCTTACCAAAACAACCAGATTTATGCAAAATCTCTAAACCCTTATTACTCATGTGTCCTAATCTATTATGCCACAAAGCAGTTTTATCAGAACTAACAAACCCTTTTTTGCCTTAAACAAAACAAGGGAATTTTTCAAAACTTTCATGCACCCATTTCCCCATTTACCCTCAAGCCCACTACCCTCAAAAGCAGCTACAGAAAACAAGTTATGACGCAAATCAGGAACATGTCTCACATTTTTCATAGTAAACACAGTCCCATTATCAAACTTCAAACATACATCACCCACCCCATGTATTTTGCATTTCTTATTATCAGCAAGAGACACAAAACCATCATTGCAAGAATCATAAGAAGTAAACAGAGATCTAAAAGGTGTCATATGATAAGTACAACCAGAGTCAATTAACAACTCATTTTCAGTCATGCTACTCAACACAGAATTTGCAAAATCACAGACCATAAAAACTTCTTCATGCAAGTTATTATCATCTACCACATTAGCATGTTCAGACTTCTTAGGATGGGGACAATCCTTAATGAAGTGACTAGAATTACCACAATTATAGCACACTCTCTTCTTAGACTTACCTCTCTTCTTCCCCGGGTCATTGTTATTGGTCTGGTTCTTATTATTGCTACCCTTCTTATGGTTTCTAGATCTACTCTTAGACCTACCCCTCACAAGCAACGCTTCACCAGAGTCCCTAGATTGACTGTTACTACCCCTCGAGTGTCTAAGGTCTAACTCCTTACTCCTTAACTCATTAGCGACTATATCTAGCGTGATATCGTCTCTACCATACTTTATGGCAGACTTGACGTCATTGTACGAGTCAGGGATGGCATTAAGTAACACTATGGGTGTGTAGTCATCTATGTGTTTATCACCGACTTGCTTAATGTTCTGAATAAGCTTGTTAAACACAGCTAGGTTCTCATCTATGTCCTTAGTCAGGTCAAGCCTAAACCTAAAGAACTTCTCAAGCAAAAACAATTTTCCAGGCAAAGAAGTATCGGTATACAACTTATCTAACTTGTCCCACAACTCTTTTGCGGAATCTATGATACCCACCTTCCTGAGCACTGAATCAGAAAGGTTTAGGTAAATAGAGGAACAAGCAGTTTCATTCATTTCAACGCGTTTGGTAGCATCCTCAGAGTCTAAATAGAGACCGGTCACAGCTCTATAGACTTTCTGTTGGATCAACACGCATTTGATTTTCTGTTTCCAAATATCAAAATCTGTCTTTCCGTTAAATGGAAGCATGCCATATTGATTGACAACCATATTAACCGGAAAGTAAGCACAACACGCAAGAGAGTAAATAAAAAAATTTATCAGGCTATCAACCGGTACGAAGCAACTAGCACGAACAAGCCGAGAAGACCAATGAACACAAAGCTCGGGTACAATCTCCTTGTTCTTTCGTACCGTACGAAGCCACTAACATGAACAAGCCGAGAAGACCAATGAACACAAGGCTCAGGTACAATCTCCTTGTTCTTTCGTACAAGCACAGATAATTTTTTTTATTTAATCAACAGACAGATAAATGATTAATTATAACCTATAGGACTATCAATTGTACGAAGCAACTAGCACGAACAAGCCGAGAAGACCAATGAACACAAAGCTCGGGTACAATCTCCTTGTTCTTTCGTACAAGCGCAAATAGGCTAGAATTAAATCAACAAACAAAGAAACAGGATTTAAAACTAATCCGGACATAAATATTCCCAATTTCGGACAACAAGTATCCAAACAAATATTCTTAACCGGAGAGTTTATCCACGAATCAACAAACTAATAATCACAATTCCAATTGCAATTAAAATGAATGAACTACAAATAAAAATCACACAAAGGATTAGTAAACGTAATTGGGGCCAGGCACAACCGGAATCCAAGACCACACAGGTCGGCAGTGGGGAGCGGGGGGAAAATAAATCCGGTGGCACTCCAGTACACCAAGGGTGGTTTTCGCCAATTTACCTGAGCGGGGCCCGAGGTTGGGTTACCCGACTTACCGTAGGCAGCGTGGGCTGCTGTAGAGCACGGCGGCAGCGGACTGGACGGCGGCAGCACTCCCTGGAAGGCAGCAGCAGCAGGACCGAGGCTGGCAGCAGCTTTCCTGAGGCGGCAGAAGCTCTGGACGGCGCTGGAACTCTTCTGGACCGGTGGCAGGCGACTCCAGACGGCGGAGAGGCGACGGCAGGCGACGGCGTGGCAGCGGCAGGCCTTCAATGGCTCTGATACAACTGTTATGTCTAGAATCCAGCTCAGGTCTCAACCAATTTCATCCACAAAGGATGAATTCCACACACTAGGATCAACAAGGGGTGTTTGTGGGCATATGCCTTCTACCTAATTCCGACCAAATCAAAGGGTTCCACAGAGGAGGCAGCAAGATGAGGAAATAGGGTTTCGACTCTCGTCATTTCCATTGGCAGGGAAGGTAGTATATATAGGCGAACCAAAATAACAGAGATGGTAACTTACCTTCCATGGAGTAAGGTTTGAATTTCGCAGGTCTTAGCAAAGGAAAGAATCGCCCAGAACATATGGGAAGAAGAGGAAGCCGATCGTGAGGAATAAAACCAACGGGCCGGGTAAAGGCTAAAGGGAAAATGGGCTTATAGTAATAGGTGGGCCAATACCAACACAGACGTCATTGTTACGAAATTTGTACCTGATGAAGATGGAGTGCAAGTAGCGTATGTCAAGAAGAGGCACCAAATTAAAAGCTATATTCCCATTGCTATACTACAGATGGATTTCCACAAGGAACCTCATCCGGATTCTCCAGCCATTAGCTTCGCGGACCCTTGCTTGATCTCTCTTTCCGGTGTCAAACGTTCAAGGATATGGTATGTGTTTAATAAATACTTCATCCTTCCATAAAAGTTGTAACATTGGAATTTCTGGACTATTCACACACCTTACTTTGACTACGATTTTCTAATAATATATATAATAAAAATATTATGTATAAAATATTAATAAATTTGTGTTAGTGTAAATTTCCAATATATTAACTTTTTTTAATGTTTAATAATACGTAAATAAATATAATTACAGTCAAAGTTGCGCGTTGGCAAACATGAAAGTAAAATTGTTGCAACTTTTATGGAACAGAGGATAGTATGTTTTTATTCCTAACGTTGCTTGCTTCTTTAATGTTAATGCTAGTCACGACAAGGAGTTCTTGCGTGCAAAGGAACAAGAGCTAAATGGCGAGCTCAAGAAGAAAACGAAGAAGCATAAGGATGTGGAATATACATTCGGGGGCTGAAAATCTCGTGACCTTGACCTCATTTGATTTGTGAGTGTGCTTGCATGGAATGTTAGGGGTCTAAGTAAGACCTCAAATCAAAATTCTGTTTTAAATATTATGTGCACAAATAATATTTCGATTGTTTGTTTCCTAGTGGTGTAGGGAGGCAGTAGAAGTAGTCGGAAAGGCATCTAATATAAAAAATTTCAAAAATTTAAAAAAATGTCACATGTATTAGTAATGCCATATTTATGGCAGATTCAGTGGAAATTTTGGGATTCTCAAAGAGTAATATGCCATTTTTTCGAATTTTCAGAAAATATGGCATTTTTACACCAATCGGAGGTGGTGGTGCAGGGAGGCAGTACATGCGGTGGGAAAGGTATCCATAATTTTTTTAATTTTTTATGAAGTTTTACTATTTTTTATTAATTTTAATTTTTCTAAAAAAAAGAAAATTAAATATTTATTTTATAAATATTTTATTCATTTTTTATTGTTTTCTACGATTTTTTGAATTTTGAATTTGTCACGGATATGTTATTTATGAAACAACGTTTTATTTAAAATAAAATATTTAAAATAATATCCGAAATTATGAAACAACGTTTTATTTAAAATAACGTTTTATGAATTTGTCACGGATAAAAATTCAAAAATTCAAAAAAAATTCAAAATTTTTACTTCATTTCTGTTTTATGTTATTTATGAAACAACGTTTTATTTAAAATAAAATATTATAATATCCGAAATTATTTAAAAATCAGTTAAATGATCCAAAATTTTTTAAAGTGTTTTATAATATTAAAAAAATAATATATCATCCGAAATATTATAAAAAAAATAATTAACAGTTTCATTATTTTGTTGGGTTAGACATGTTAACTTTTTTGAAAGTGTAACATGAGGGGGCGAAAATTAATGGAGTTGAAATTATTAGTCTTAATAAATATCCGAAATTAACAAAAACTCAAAATAACCTTGACTGAAAATTTAATAATTAACTATTCTAAAGCAGGCATTCTTAAATTAACAATATCTAAGGCATATTTAAAGCCTATACACAAATGATACACATTATGAAACGTTAAATCTAACCTCACATATGAATATGAAGAAGAACATTTAAACATGCATGAATATTAAGAAAAACATGCCTTATATGGAAATTACGACTATTCAAATATGAATATTCGGAAAACATGCATTATATCCGTGTAATCCGACTATAATTAAAAAAATGCAATAAAATTACGAGCATGCATATGAATATTCGGAAACATATAAACATTAAAACCATATTAAGAAAAACATGCATTAAATAAATAAATTTACGAGCATGCATATGAATATTATGAAAAACATAGAAACATGCATGGATATTAAGAAAAACATGCATTAAATAATTAAAAACATGCCATAAAATTTCGAGCATGCATATTAATATTCGGAAACATGTAAACATTAAACATATACACATATTCAATGCATGATAACTTATTAACATATACACATTAAATTAAACAATTAAAGAATATTAAGAAAAACATGCATTTACTTTTTGGCATTTTAAAACATTTATTCTAAAATATTCGGAAATTAAAGAGTTAGAAACATAACCTCGGAGAAGAAGGCAAGAAATGAAAGGGAAAGAAGAGAAGGCCGGCTTCGAAGAACGGCGGCAGGGGTGGAGATAATCCGCGGTGGCCGGTGAGAGGTGTGCGGCGGCGGTCAGCGGGTGTAAGAGAGGCAGAAGGGCGGCGGAGTGGGAGGCGTTTGGGAGGGTGGCGGTCGGCGGGTGTAAGAGAGGCAGCAGGGCGGCGGAGTGGGAGGCGTTTCAGAGGGTGGCGGTGGGCGGGTGTCGGAAGGCGTAAGGGAGTAGTGGGAGGCGTTTAGGGTTGCTGAAGGAATTGGGAAGCGTAAGAGAAAAAAAAACTAAGTGTCGTTTATATATTAGAGGTTGTCACGGACCCGTCCGTGACAAAGGCCGTGAGAAATTAATTACGGATTTTTAAATTTGAAATTTGTCACGGATTAATCCGTGACAAAGTTATCGGAACTTGTAAACTGCGGAACAGCAGTCGAGGCGGCAGGGAACGGCAGACGAGGCGTCAGCTACTTTAATTGTCACGGACCTATCCGTGACAAATTTAAGTATAAATATGTGCTTAGAGTCCCATTTTTTCGGTGCGAAAAAATGGCTAATCCAGAACCAGATGTTTGGAAGTTGATCAGTAGAAGTGTACAAAGATTAAAACAAGTTACACAGTTGATGAAGCCTCGAAATGCAGAAGCAGTTCAAAGCATCCGTGAGCTGATGAGTAGACCGCTTGAAAGCTTTGGCGATATTATAGACTATGAATCGGACTCATACAACGTTTCACGAGGGAAAAACTTGCGTAGGGCACTTTTACGCGCAGAACAATGTTCGGAGTATATGATACCTATAAACGCGGAAGCTGCAGAAAGAATTAACGAGCTACTTGATAGGCCTCTAGATGAAAGTTTTGACGCTAATGAATAATATTGTGTTTATTTGTTTATCTGTATTGTGAGTTGTTGAATGTAATAAATGATAAAAAATTGTGTGTTTTCTACTTAGTTTTTAAATTTAATAAATAAATTCATGTTCTTGTTTATTAAATTTCGAATTATTAAAATTTTGTAATGTTAAAAAACTAATAACAAATAATGTTAAAAAACTAATTTCCGAATTTTAAATAATGTTAAATTTCGAATTATTTAATTTTCGATTTTCGAAATTACCTAATTAATTTTAAATTTACGAATCGATAATAATGAACCACTAATTTTCAATTGAATAATTTTAAAAACTTAATTTTATTAATTAATTAATCGCTATTTTACAATATAATATGGAATAATTATTTTGTTTAGAAATGATAGTTGCGAATTACATACCTAACTATTATATCTTGGAATAATATAATAATGATGAAAGAAAGTTAAAAATTCAAATTAAAATAGTTCAATTAAAAGTAATTACATTGGTTGTTAAGTATACATTTAATCGCTAAGAATCAGTATTTTCTTGATAGGCAACTTCTTCTTCTGTATCTTCATCACCAGATATCCATTCTTCTTCTTCCTCCTGGTCATCGTGCAGTTGTTGTATATATAATTCTTCAATTTCGCGCTCATTTTGAGGTATAGGGGGCGGAAGGTGTGTTTCAGGCATAACTTCAACATCTCCGCCATTTGGGTCACTTAACTGAATGTTATGGTTGACCGTATCAGTAATAGGCGGAGGGTGGAAAAAATCTTGCTGAAAAGCATCAAAGTCAATATCCCTTTGTTGAGCCTGTGTTACAATTTTGCTCGGACGGATATTAATGGCACACACCCAAGGATTCCGTGTGCGCCTCGTTGAAGGATACTCTGCATAATAAACCTGGGCTGCTTGTTGAGCGAGTATAAATGGCTCATTTTTCTCATTAAATCTAACTAATATTATCAACTCATCAAATTCTAAACCCATTTCCTCAATGTTTTAACTTAATTAATTAGTTAATTTCCATTTAACTAATATTGTGAATTATTATTGTGAATTCACAAAAATAATTCACAATAATAATTCACACTAAACTAAATAAAAATAAAGTTTCAACCCTAGCTATATATATTATGCATCCCATTAACAATAATTAACTAATTTAACTTATTAATTAGTTAATTTCCATTTAACTAATATTGTTAAATATAATTAATTCACAATAATATATAATTCACACTTAACTAATAAAGTTTGAATCCTAACTTAAATCACTACAAATCCTAAATTATGCATTAACAATAATTAACTAATTAATAAACAAATTAAACCTAATCATGCATTATCATCATTGATCAATTAACTAATATTTAAATCTAACTAATATTATCAACTCATCAAATTCTAAACCCATTTCCTCAATGTTTTAACTTAATTAATTAGTCAATTAATTTACATTTAACTAATATTATTGTTAAATATTATCTCATTAATAATTCACAATAATAATTCACACTAAACTAAATAATAATAAAGTTTCAATCCTAGCTAGCTATATTAATTATTGGTGATAAATAATAATTGGTGATAACTAATAACCTAATAATTAAGCTAGCTAACTAATTAATTAAATCACTACAAGTCACTAATTAATTAATCTATAATAAGCTAGCTAATACTTAAATCATCACTACACATCCTAAATTATTATGCACTAATAATAACAATAATTTAACTAATTAATATTTATATTTAAATTTAACTAATAATTAATTATTTAACAAACCTCACTGATTAATTATTAAGCTAATAATTAATTATTATTATATAAAGAAAAAAGAATCCTAACCTCACTAATAATAATTAATTAATTAAGCTAATAATTAATTTATCACACAATTAAAGGAAATTAATTAAAATGACATACCTTATCAGCATAAACTTGGAAAATGATGAACTGACGGATTACATCATTCAATCTTTAAACCGATACTACATCACTCGAATCTACGAATTTTTAAACTGATTGTTGTTCTTGCAATTGTAATGGACGATGAAGTTGGGTTATATAAAAAAATTTGTCACGGATTTGTCACGGATTTATCCGTGACAAATCTTTTTCTGTACCGCATTATTAAAGGTTACCGCTGGAAAATCAATAATTGAGTTTTTTTGAAATTTGTCACGGATTTGTCACGGATTTATCCGTGACAAATCTTTTCCCATACCGTATTATTAAAGGTTACCGCTGGAAAATCAATAATTGATTTTTTTTGAAATTTGTCACGGATTTGTCACGGATCTGTCCGTGACAAATGCCCGGAAGCAAAAAAGTATTCACCGGAGTAAAAAACCGGTCGCCGGAATAAATTTGTCACGGACCAAATCCGTGACAAAATTTTGTCACGGAATATGTCACGGATAAATCCGTGACAAATAATTTTCGTGACAAATCCCAAAATTCCGTGACAAAGCCCGTGACAAATTTGTCACGGCCGGAATCCGTGACAAAAATCCGTGACAAACGGCGTGTTTTTTTGTAGTGGCCATATATTGTAGTATTTTGATTCTCCAATCGAAAAATTGTTACAACTCTGAGACTTATGTGCATGTGAAAAATGACCAAAATGATTTTGGAATACAGGATCGAACTCGCGATGAAAGTCAAAGGATGAGAACAGTCTGGACTCTAGAGATGGATAGTTGCTTCATTGGAACAAGTTGGAAACTGGATGACATTACGTTTAACAAGCATGCTTGGAATGAGATATGGAATTGTTCGGCGTGCAACTGATATGAAAGAAGAGAAGAAGCCTCACATTTGCTCAGAATTACAAAAATATCGGGTGTATATCTACACCTGGGTGTAGGATATAATTTCATGGATATGACTCCTTATTTTTCATTATTTATATGTTTTACTCCTAAAGTGGCATTTTTTGTTGTATGTGGAAATTTTGTAGGCTAAGCATGTTTTTCTTGTAGTGGTATATAGAGTTATTTAGCACTTGCACTGAGATTGGATTAACTCTAATTCAAACGACACTTTAAAAGTAACAAGTACTGAAACTGTCTGATATTGAGAAAAGAATTTGATCCAAAGATACATGATGATTGATCACAACTCTATTACAAACAAACAAATGAACAAAAAATGAATGTGACTATTAGTAACTTGCTTGAGCAAACATTTTCTTCACTCAACAAAAAGTATATTATTTTTCATCCCATAATTGGTCACTCTTTAATTTTATTAAAAGTATATTATTTGTCATCGATCAACTCTTTTCTTGTGCATCCTGTTCATGGTCATTATCCCCGGCCAGCTCTTCTAATTAACACTGGGGAAGATCCTTTGGTGGGGGCAAAACACTCTCGTTTGGACCCTTTCCATTATCCACTAGGAATGCCATCTTTAGTCCCCAGGTTGTGTGTACCTCAAGATGACAGTGCATGAACCACACTCCTGCAAACAAGTCCTAGTTTTAGTCCTATTTGAAATAATTTCTAAACATAAAACCATATACTGTAGTATTTTGATTCTCCAATCGAAAAATTGTTACAACTCTGAGACTTATGTGCATGTGAAAAACGACCAAAATGATTTTGGAATACGGAATCGAACTCGCGATGAAAGTCAAAGGATGAGAACAGTCTGGACTCTAGAGATGGATAGCTGCTTCATTGGAACAAGTTGGAAACTGGATGACATTACGTTTAACAAGCATGCTTGGAATGAGATATGGAATTGTTCGGCGTGCAACTGATATGAAAGAAGAGAAGAAGCCTCAAAGTTGCTCAGAATTACAAAAATACCGGGTGTATATCTACACCTGGGTGTAGGATATAATTTGCTAGATATGACTCCTTAATTTTCATTATTTATATGTTTTACTCCTAAAGTGGGAATTCTTTCATTTTTTGTTGTATGTGGAAATTTTGTAGGCTAAGCATGTTTTTCTTGTAGTGGTATATAGAGTTATTTAGCACTTGCACTGAGATTGGATTAACTCTAATTCTAACGACACTTTAAAAGTAACAAGTACTGAAACTGTCTGATATTGAGAAAAGAATTTGATCCAAAGATACATGATGATTGATCACAACTCTATTACAAACAAACAAATAAACAAAAAATGAATGTAACTATTAGTAACTTGCTTGAGCAAACATTTTCTTCACTCAACAAAAAGTATATTATTTTTCATCCCATAATTGGTCACTCTTTTATTAAAAGTATATTATTTGTCATCGATCAACTCTTTTCTTGTGCATCCTGTTCATGGTCATTATCCCCGGCCAGCTCTTCTAATTAACACTGGGGAAGATCCTTTGGTGGGGGCAAAACACTCTCGTTTGGACCCTTCCCATTATCCACTAGGAATGCCATCTTTAATCCCCAGGTTGTGTGTACCTCAAGATGACAGTGCATGAACCATACTCCTGCAAAATAAGGTACGCAATATATATGTGGTACGATGATATATACGATCGTATAAAAACACTATAATTTGGTGTTGTTAAAATAAAAGAAATATTTTAAAATTGTAGCACATAACTATGGTTGTTGAATTGTTGTGAAGACTATGTATAAATTAAACAAATGTATGAATTATAAACTAAAAATATAAAAATTATTTTGCGCTCAATATATGCCTCCATTTATGTTGACAATATTAAGTTTTAATATAAAAATATGGAATAATAAGTAAGCATTGAACACAAACTCATTTTCATTTTCCAAAATCAATATAATATTCGTATATACTCATTAATTTATTTTTGATTTTTTAATTTTTTATTTATGTTTTTAAATTTAGGAAAATATGAACTTTAGGGATAAATTTGATTACCGTAATATTTTTTGAAAAAACTCAATATTTAAAAAAAAATGTTATATTTTAGAAATAATTACATACGGAGTACGTATATGTCACTCAGATAATATTGTTTACAAATATATGACCTCATAAGTGTACCAGATATAATAGTAATTTAATCGTACTAATTTATGTTCAATTTTTTTATATTTAAGTGACTATGAGATTATATTGTATGGGTAATTTGTAGTACATTTTAATCAGTTTTTTTTTCGTATATAAGCACTATTTCAATAATATTTTTGAAAACCCCTCCATATTTTACTCTGTACAAGTTTTCTTTTGAAAAAAACATCACGTATTTCATGGAGCTACTAGTAAGCACCTGGATTGTCGGCACGGAATCTGATAGCAACCCAACCGCCGGCCGGAACTCCGATCGTGTTTCTCTCGACTGGGTCAACGAGATTGAAATTCTTAGGATCATTTTTAGGGTTAAAATTCCCTAACCCTTTTCCGACGACAAAGAAGTTAAACCCATGCAAATGGACCGGATGGTTTTCCGGCAAAACAATTCCGGTGTCCTGTAAAACCAATTGAACTGTCTCATTGTAGGCCAGCCTATAAACCTTCGTCCCCTTTGAAGTCTGGAGGTTCGCCGGTCCGGTGCCGGTGTAGTTGAAAGCAAACGGCGGATTCGCCGGAAAATCCGTTGTGAACACTCCCTTGATGCCAAAGACGTGAGCTTGCAAAAGAGCAGTGGTGGGCATGACAAACGTGACGTTGTTGATTCCGGCAACGACCCGGGTCCCGTTTGCGGGTTTGCAAGACGGGCACGGGTTGATACCGAGCCCGACGGTGAAGAGGAGGGAGTGGTCGATTTTCTGAGGAACCGTGGCCGGAAACTCCTCGGAGTTGAGACTTCTCAGGGAGTCGAGAAATTTGTCTGCCAAAGCGGTGGCGTTTTTGGGTGGCGTGGAAGTGAGGGTTGTGCGGCTTCCGGTGAGGGTGCCGGTGTAGTGGAGTGTGGCGACGGCGGTCTGGTTGTCGACGGTGATCGGAGCGTCCATGTAGGGGGAGGCGGCCAGCATGTACTGGCCGGATCGTTTGTCGGCGGTGACGATGACGTTGGTGGTTTGCCCCGGGGCTATCACGATCGTGTCTGTCTTGAAAGGTTTTACGTACGAGGCGTCGACCTCGACGACGGTCAACGTATGGCCGGCAACCTTAAAGAAGAGTTCTTCATTGAGTGCAGCGTTGACTACCCTTAGCATGTAGCTTTTCCCAGCTTCCACACTTAACTTATATCCACCTGAAATAAACAACCATAAAGCAATGCTTAGGTTGACAGAATTGATTAAAGTTGACCATCTATCAACATTTTGGACAAGTTCACAAATCATATCACTCTTAATTTTAATTTTGAATAATTAAAATAAATCTTAACTTTAAGGAGTGAATGAGTCGTTTTTTCAAAACAGTCAATTTTGGAACAAACTTATCTTATCTTTCTTATCCTTATGTTCTTTAATTATACAAGTACGGCGTAACATTTTTTATAATCAATAATGATGGATCAACACCCTGTTTTGTACGATAGTACGTAGTATTTCTTATAGTTTAAGATACACTAAATTCCCTAAATAGGAATAAAAAAGTTTTGAAATTCCAAAATAGGAGTATCACGTTTTTTATTCCCTAAATAGGAGTAAATTTCTGCCAAGTTTGACATTACTAGGCTTTTAAAGATGACATTTTTTTCCAAACTTGTCATATTGCTCTTATTCAAGGAATCAAAAACATGATACTCCTATTCTGGAATTTCAAAGCGTTTTTACTCCTATTTAGTGCAATTTCTATTTGAGATATTACTTTTATTTTTTTTTTGAAGCAAATGAAAACTTTGTTAAGAGGGCATGTATATACAGTTAGCAATGTGTGACAAATTTCAAGAGGACAAAAACTTTAAGGTCCAATGAGACCGATCATGACACTTCAATATGTAGAAGTTTGGAAATTTTGAACAAGTTACTCTACAGCTATGAATCACATAAACTCTTGAGAAAGAGTACGATTCGATTTTAGAAATTACAAAAAGAATTTTGAAAATTATCCAAACAGTTGTTTTTCTATGAAAAGACCAAAATTTTCACTTCACGTTTACCCACACTTCTCATGTTTGTCTTCAACAACATAGCTCTATAATTTAATGACAATATAATACTACGTAGTTCATGGTCTATACCTTGTTTGGGACAATTGGAAACCGGCCCTGGAAAACCATTTATAGTATGAGCGTCTGAAACATTGGGAGCTAATCCTGATTTGAGTGCTTCTGTGATAACCGCCTCAGTATCAGATTTCCACCACTCAGCTGCGCAATTACACCACTCATCAACTTAATTGGGACAATAAATACATATTGTATACTACAATTACTATAAATAAATAAAAAAGAGATTGACATAAATTTTGCATGGTTTGAGTAGGTACCGAGTAATAGAACGGCTTCGTGGTCAGGCTTGGGGAAAGGGTAGGGGACACCAAGCTTAGGCAATATGACCAAAGCGCCATGGACAGTTGACCTTAACCAGAGAACATGGGCATGCCAAAAGAGTGTGCCCCTTTGACCTGTAATGGTGAAGTTGTACACATAACTCTGCCCTGGTCTTATGGGACACTGTGTTATGTACGCCGGCCCGTCCGCCCAACCCGTTCGGAGCTGTCTAATACCATGCCTGCATGCACCATGCACGTAATTAATTGCTTACTAAAATATATCCAGGACATGCCATCTATTAATCAATCCCTGCCTCTCTAACTTGCTAAAATAATAATTAAGTTCATAAATATGAACAAAATAGGATCCATTCACTTGTATTTTGCAAAGTTTTAATCAGCTTATTCTTTTAATATGAAGAAATAAGTCTTTTTGGGGAATAAAACATACCTAGTTCTATTTTTGAATTTTGTATATAGTTTATTGTTGAGTAAATTCCCTAAGTATGAGTAAAAAAGTTTTGAAATTCCAAAATAGGACTATCATGTTTTTTATTCCCTAAATAAGAGTAAATTTCTGCCAAGTTTGGCATTACTAGGCTTTTAAACATGATATTTTTTCCAAACTTAGCATATTACTCCTATTTAAGGAATAAAAAGCATTGTACTCCTATTTTGGAATTTCAAAGCCTTTTTACTCCTATTTAGGGCAATTTCTATAGTTTATATTCC